ACAGATGTCTGGAATCTTGGTGGAGTCTTCCTTGCTGGGGTCCAGTCCCTAGGCCTGGCAGGGGCCAGAAGTCTGAGCAGGGTGCTCCCGAGGCCTAGAACAGCTAGCACCCGTTCCTCTCCTAGAAGCAGGCCTCTTGCACAGCCTGTGCAGCCCTACAAATCTTCTGGGAGCTTTATCCCCTAAGGCCAGGATAGGGGGCCAAGAGGCCCTGGGGAGAGGCAGAAAGGCTCCCTGTCTGGGTCGGCAGGCTCGGGCATGCCCGCATGTTAAAGAGGAGGAGGTCACCCTCCCGCAGATCTTACAGCAAATCTGTCTCCATCCATCTGGGAAGCAGAGGAGGATTTGTGCTCTTTGGGGGCCTCTGCCTGAACACACAGGAGGGGATTTTGCTTCTTATCAGAATTTTGCTGGCCCAGGAGGAGACTGTAGGGGACCTGCACTTTAAGAGGGCCTCGTTCCTGGGAAAGTCATTTGCAGACACCATGACCTCATTCTTGCCACCAGCGGCATAATTAGAAGGTTGCAGGCCGAGCAGTTACGACTACGACGGGGCCCCATCAGGAGGGGCTCCGCGCGGTTCCTGATGGGACTCCTGCATCTAGCTCTCCTGGAATGCTCTGGGGACAGGTTGGGGGTCTTCTCACTCGTTGAGATCTCACAGTCGCCATCCCCAGGACTGACACCGCTCTCCACATTTGAGTCTGCAGACTCTAGAGGGAGGGGGCAAAGGCAGAGAGCCATGGGATGCCTGGAAGAGGGGGAAGGCCTGGGCTCCCGCTCTGCCTCCCCTCTCCTTTCTCCAGGGCTTCTCTTTGGAAAGCCTCCAGGGAACCCCAAACAGGACCAGTTCTTTTCCTGTTAAACCACACAGAGTCAGTGAGAGGGTCACCGCAGACCTTTGTCGGGGGTGGGAAGGGGGTGCATTACCCCAGGTTCCCAGTCAAGCAGCCAGAAGACAGCTCAGGACAGGCATTGGGGATGCCCACTGTCACGGAGGCCAAGATCCTCCTCCCCACCCCACCATCCTCCCCACTCCACCATCCTTGGGCATCACACTGGGACTCTGCCCCCTTGTTAACCTGGCCACAGTCAGCTTTTCCATGTGGCTACTCTGTATCTGTTTCTATTTCCAATCTCAGATGTAACAGTAGCTAGGACAGGGCGTTCCTTGCAGGATCAGCTGCGTCCTCCACCAGCCTGGGATTCGTCTCAGGGACCAGCCAGGCAGCCGTGACCCCCCAGAGGCACAAGGCGAGTTTCTACTCCCCGCACACCAGGCCCCGGTGCCCTCTCCCCTGTGCCCTGCCCCCTGGTTGGTCTGTGCCACTTCAGTCAAGAAGTCACTCCCAGGGATGTTTTGATGGAGATAAGAAGACAGACTCAGTGAGCAAAAGCACTGGACAGGGCTCCATTTAGAAATAAAGGCAGAGGCCAGAGGAGAGTGAGGCCCACGTGGTCTTTAACCCCCCAGGGCCCTGGAGCAAAAGTGTGACTCACCTGTGCCTTCCACCTCCGCTCACTCACCTTCTCCTGCCTGCTCTCCTGCCGCGATCAGGGTGCTCTGGGCTGGAGTGGACAAAGGCCCCCAGGGAAGGACTTCAGCAGAGCCTCTCTACCTGCAAAGGACCTTGGAAATGAATCACCTTGACTTATGGTTCCAGTAAACCACTAGTGGCCTTCTTTTCTCAATTTGTTCAGTTTTGAAGATGGAGGAAGGGAAGGGGTGGAAGAGGGAGGTCTGGGATCCCTGTCTAGCTTGGGCTGCCCTAATGAAATCCCGTAGATGGGGCCTTTAGCTCTGAGCATTTATTTCTCACTGTTCTGAAGGCTGAGAGGTCTGGCCGAAGCTCCAGGCAAGGGCTAGAGGGCAGGAGAGAAGGGGAGAGAAGGAGCTCCGTCAGCTCCCTTCCTCTTCTTATAAGACACCAAGATCACCTCATCTAAACCGAGTGGCCTCCCAAAGCCCCTGCCTCCTAATCCCATCACAGGGAGAGCTTCAGCTGCTGTATTTGGTGCAATTTTTTTCCAGGCCTCAACCTGCACGTGCAACTGTTCACTAAAATGTACCTTCAATCCCTTAGGAAAATGGGCCTAGGAGCAGAGTGCCCATCCACTGCTTCTCTGCGCTGAGATCCAAACCATCATGTGTCAGCTCCTGGCTTCCAAGCCCCGGGATCTGAATGGACACATCCAAATGGACTGGGTTCAGACTCCTGTGCTCCTTCCTGCTTGTGCCCAGCCATCCTCCAGGAAAGGTGGAAAGGAGACTCAAGAGGGCGGGAGGAGAACACCTCCAAATCACCAGCGCTGGTGCAGAGTGCTCAGCGGTGGGAATGGAGGTTGAGAGACCAGGGGAGGCGAAATTTTTAAACAGCAAAACCTCTGAGTGTAGGTAGGCTGGGGCAGGAAGTGCAGGAAGATCCAGGATTGTCCTACATCTGAGTCAGTTTCAGCCATTCTGAGCCACAGGCACAGCCCCCCGGGGGAGTGTGCCCAGCAGTCTAAAGCACCGAGCTATTGCTGCACAGGAGAGGGCACCATACACATGCCCCTGAAAAGGTCGAGGAAGGAGGAAGTTGGTTGGGGGCAGAATGTGTACTTTGTGGTAGTTTCAGAAACAAAAGCAGGGGCGATTTTATGGGTAGATGCCTTTAATGTGTCCACCATGAAATAGAGAAGCACCGCAGAGAAGTCCGCCTCTGGGAGGCTGGGACATTGATCTTTGAATTGGACAAGAATTTAGAATCATGGAGGGCCATTCAGAATCACAGAGTGAAGGTCTCGGACTTGAACAAGGCGTAT